TCTGATTTTTAGTGTGTCCAGGTGTCTGGTGAATTCAAATCCATATCGCTTTGTGAATATTCTTCTGTTTGTACACACTACCTCCAATCACTTATTCAGAAGTCTGTAAACAATTCTCCCTTCTCGTCCATTTCACCGAGCGCCTTTCGACAAACGATCAGTTCTCTTCCTGTGTTGTCTGCTCCCATTTAGGCCCTCATGTCACCCCACCCATTAGAATTCTGATATCGCCAACTAGACTGGGGTCTTGTCCATCATTCATTGTCGTTGTCTGCAGAATTTCTCCTTCCTCTCTTCTTCTGCATTATTTGTAGATGCATAGCGTATCATTGTATGATTGTGATCTTCCTTCCTTCTGAGTTGAATCTTGCTGTCATGAACCTGATCCTGGAGGAGACTGATTCCCACTGCATGAGAGTCTTCAATGATCTTCGGGACATCATGATAGCCACTTGAGAACTCAGTGTGTTCGTGGTTGTGGTCTGTGTGACAATATGGGAGTAGATTATTGGCTCTGCATTGAAGAGTTTAGAGGGTCTACTTCCATTGGATCTGCTTTCTCTGATTCCTAGCCCAGCACTTCTCTGCTATACCTTCTCATCTTTTTGGCAATCTGGGAAGCTTTGCTATGATCACATATGGTGCGGACTTGTTTACTTTCGCTCTCATCAAGAGAAGACACATCAGGTGACTGGCTTCATAAAGACTTTCACCGTCCGATGACATTTCGTCTCTCCGATTTCAGTAAGGAATAATTCTATTTTTATTTTCTACACTTTCTTTGTGCTTTGAAGTTTGTTTAGCGATTGGATTGGTTTCACGAAGTAGGGTTGTAGCACTACGCCTAACCTTCCCTGTTTACCCGGGCTTAGGATTTGCTAGTAACTGCCATGTATAGCGAAGGGAAATTTCAAGTTTCAAAACAACATCTTATACCTGTTGCACAAAACATGGCTTTTGGCCAACTGAATAAGGCCTTGACTTTTGCATCGATAGGTACTGGGTTCGAGTCCCATCGAGGACAACACTCGCTGGGATGTAGGTACATCCAGCTGACGAGTCTCAAGTAGGATGGAACGCGCATATTTTTATTTTCTGAATTCCCCCGCTAGTCACCAAGATGAATGTAGGAGAGGTATGTCTGTGACTGTTTTTTCCCACTTGTTCTATTTTTTAGTACTTTAATGAGAACAGTCTATACTAGTTGTCTTCGTAAAGCTTCTTTTTCATAACTTCGTGAAAACACTTGAAAACGCTTTCTGACTCAATACGTAATGTTCTCTTTGTTCTTCAATGAAAAGAATGATCAATGAAATTGCGGAAATCCTAATGCCAAGTGGGCTACACACTAAAGTTACTTCCAGATGTTTTTATTTCAACCTTTCCTAACCAATTTATCACTTACACTTCTTCTGACGAGACTTTCTTTGAACAGTCAAAGTAAGTTGATTGGTTTTGAAAGCTTTTAGGGATTCCAGATATTTTATGGAATGGACGAGTAGTACTGCTTCTCATCAAGTTTGACACCTTGAAGAAGTAAAATATCTTAATTAAGTTTCCTTTAAATCTGCCTGGATTTTATTGGTAATTTTTCTGAATCAGTCAGGAAGCATTTCCAAGGGCGATAACTTTCTTGAATATTTTCAATTACTGCCTGTAAATGTCAGTTGGCTATTAGTAGATCCAGGGGTGGTTGTTTGATGGGTACTCAGTATTTTGTTCGTTAAAAATTTGTATCTTGTATGACTGACATGTCTTGAAACTTGGTTGAGCATTTATAATTCATGGAGGCATTGTCTCAATTTCTTGTATGTTAGCTCTATTTTTTCAGCCTTTATCCCATTGGTTGAATCTAATCATGATTTTTAACGTAGAGAGAAGTCACTTTACATGCAGAGACAGAGTGACAGACAATTGTCAACCTGAATTCATTCATTTGAGTGTACATCAAACATTACCCTCAGTCATCGATGAAATATCGTATCGTATGCTTAATAAATGGAACCAATTTAATGCACGGAAGTTTTTTTTAGTGAATAAGGGATAAATGAATTTACACTTACTTGGGATTGTCTAAGCCACCGTCATTACGTAAATCTTACTACTGCACAGTCAGACAGAGACAGTTACCAACCTTTAAGTCTATGAGTGACATTTCCAGTCAAAACCACTACCTTAACATTTCTGAAATATTTTGACGTCTTTATTATACGTTTACATCTATATGCCTTCATTCTATGCACAGTTTTCATAATGTCACCATCATTAATCTCATTTGCTTATCTTTTGTTTAGATAACGTTTGTACAAAATCTATCTACGTCTAGTTATATCCAAAATTTATTTACGACTTTTAGGATATGCTTTATTCTACCCTTTAAAATGTCTTCCATGTGATTAAGGTCCATTGCATCATTGCCATCGATATCGTGAAATCATGAGGCTATTCTGATTTCCAGTATAAGAAGGAACATCTCAGGTTATTTTATGCATAATTAGCTTCGTATCTGTTCAGCAGCAAATAGTTTGTTTGATGAATCAAGTGGTTTGAGACAGATGCAAATCCAGTGAAGTAAAATAAAAATTTTATTCTCTAAATGCTTTCCTTGTTTTGTGGTAATTACTTACAGATCAGCGTGACATACGTACAGCTTAAGGTGTTGGCGGAAAAAGAAGATTAGAGTAGATTTTTTAGTTGACTGAAGGTCAAGGAAGAAATAACGCCTGAACAGGATAGGTGTGTCCAATTTTATGGTCAAAGCCAAAGATGCATTGAAAAGGCGTTGATGATGACTGAAAGATAACCTACCTAAGCATAGTTTATCATCTGTTATTAGTTACTTCAACTGTTCATGTTGAAATAACTACATGATGCATACGATTTTTCAAGGGCGTCATCGGATATGAGAAAATTTACCGGTTTTGTTTGGGAAATGTGAAGCGCAAGGGGTGAGGACTTCTACTGAGCTCAGCTGTTATATACAGATAATTACAAAGATGTCAACAGAACTTTTATGTCGCACACAGTGTTTTAGAAAACAAGGACGCTTAACTAACCAACACTTTCACAACATCGATTAGTCTTAAGCAACAAGATTGTTCAATAACTGAAGTTTGCATTCAGAAGAAACGTATTATTCCCCTTATATGACTTTAGTAAAATAGAGGTTACTCGGATCTTCCTCACTTATTGTCATTGTGCTAATCATCACCTTCTCAAAATATCTATAAATCATTCTAATATGATATATTTAAAACAAACTGATTCCCTCACAGTCCCTTACTCAGATTCCATTGTGAAAATAAAGTCACCTTGATCTTGCTCTGGTTTTATGCTTCATAATTTAATTTTATAACTATAGAACCTGATGTTAGTTTATTGAAAAGAGTATTCTTCATTCAGATTGTTTTTTCGCTGTATTAATTATTTTTATTAAGGGAATTAAGCGTCAGGAAGGTCTGAAGTCCTTAACTTTTCTCAAATATTTGAAGTTTAATTAGTATTTGTGAAGGCTTCTCAGATGAATAGTACTTCACAACCTAAAGCTATTAAAACTTTTGGTGTTTAAAGGTCATGAAATCCAGATATTTTTCGAAGTACTAGTATCGTCGGTATCAGTAAATGGCTGTATATTTTGTATGTGAAAACAGTTTTTTGTCTTAAACTGGCATGTCTAATGAGAGTATATAAAACATTGCAACAAAGAGGCCTTTAAACATGACTGTGAATTAATAGCACTTATTACAACATGTCCACTACATTTTTGCTTTACGACTGCAGTAAGAGCTAAAAAGATTATTTTTATAGGCTAAATACTGTCATACTACACCAGAACCTTCTCTGTCGTATGTGCAGAGGGGTATTATACCCTAAATGACTTTTGCTTGGCAGCAAGTGATTTCAAACTCGAATTTCAAAGTGAAATATTATCAAAAATAACAATTACTGAAACCTTTAATTTTTCAAGATGATTTTAACACACCATTTATACATATGTTCGTAGTTAGTTCATCTGAATATAAGAGCTTTGAAGTAAAAACAAACATATAAACAAACAAATAAGTAAGGATTTGCTGTCAGCAACTTGATGTTTAGGGATATAATGCTTGATTAAACGAAATTATTATTTATACTGAGTGATAATTGAAGATGAAATGAAATTCGAACCAGCAACCACCAGGTTACCAGCCTCATTGTCTGCCAACTGAGCTAAGAGGTCGTCTCTAACGATTAATTTTCCATGAAGTTTAGCTTCACTGTTGAATAATTTCCGAATTTGCAAGTTATTAAATTCGATATCGATACCCACATGTATTCAAAGGTGAATCAATCATTCAGAAATCAACCTTAAAAGTCTCCAATGCACAACCAATTCACATGTTAGATTTATATTATAAAGTAATACTTGTACAGTTATGTTCATAATGAAAAAAACAAACAAATTATATTTACGACTGAAGTGAACAAAAAAGAAACGTGATGATTTGGATTGGATAATGAATTGATTTATATTGTTTTATCCAGAAACATATTTTTGTCATTAAAAAATATTACTAAAATACACAATGCCAATCATATTTCATTATATAGAATATTTAACGCTTAATAGTATGATTACGTGGAAAAATACCTCTGTGAAATCAAACATGTTCTCCTTTCTGATCATTCATTCTATGATGTTAACATCTATTGACTAACTGTAGAGTATTGGACATTGAATAAATATACATAAATTTGGAATTATGTGCATGGAAGAAATAGTTAAAAAGTGTAAAATTAGCAATTTCATTGTTTAAAGTAATAAGAATATATAATTAGGACTGTGCAAAAACAAGAAAGCTAGACAGCCATCATGAGGTAATTCTGTAGAAGCTTTAAGATTACTTTCAATCGATTCTTTGATGTACTTGTCTACTGAACACTATACAACCAGCACAACAAAGTTATGACCAGCTCTACTTCATGTAGTAACTTTTATATCAATATCTTATGAATGTGAATTATTTAACGTACCAAAGTGTGTTCAGTGATGTTGCTGTGTCTGAGCTGTTTGTATTATTATTGCAATTATCAGTTTCTTTAACACTAGACAACGGAGTTATTACATGGACAAAGGACAGACTAACTGGCTGTTTATTGGATATTTCAACTGAGGATACATTCATTGAACCATCCACCCAGACCGATCTTGTTGTAGGGACCAGTGAAACTGTCGTCGTTTCCAGGCTATCACCATTTCCACTATCTTGGCCAAGAGAGTTTAGACTATGTCGTTTAGTCTGAAAATAAAACAAAAATTGAGTAAGAAAAGTCATTTTCAGGACTTTTAAAATTAACTTAGCAAGATGGTTTTATTTTGAAAAGAGCAATAAAAACACCAGGCTTGAATATTGTGGAGGCTTTTCATTTCTCCGCTGGCTTTATTGAGTTGCATACAACCTGTAGCTGGCAAAGTGGTATACTTTCGTCCATTGAAAAGAAATTATAAATATAAATATAAAAAAAGACTACGACAGTGAAGCAGGGGAGCTGCACAAATGGTAGTAGCTTTGTAATGCTGTATTATGACATCACAAACGTACATTTTGGAATAACTTTTCTGATAAAGCTTGAGTAAGGGCAGCCAGAGGGTTGTCATGGTAGGCGTTTACTTCTGTACTTTCACTTTATCTGCTGCGGCAAAAACATTAGAGGTAACGTATGAGGAGTTAGTGTCTGCTACATGAGATATTTTAGATAGGCTGGGACAAACGCTACTGAGTAGTTACAAACGTTAAGTTGGTGGACAGTTGGAAAAACAGGACATGATAATGCAAAAAAAAGATAAATTAGCGAAGACAATTTTCCATTTCGAAGGTATAATTTTTAAAGCTGTATTATCCTATTTATATATGCTACAAACCTGTATGGGTCTATCAGTAAACAATAGGGTATAATTGCATTATTTAGCTAGTGCTAAAAAAATGAAATCAAGAATGAAACGTGATTGGACACTGGAAATAATGAGAAGGGTAAGGGCTTTGACAAGATGAAAACTGTCTGCGTATGTAAAATATGAAGATACAGTGTCCACTTGATAGATATGAAGAAGGCAAAGAAAAAAACAAAGGTCATGATAAAGGTGATAATAGTAAACTGATTGTGATGAAATCGAAAAATCGAAAGTGTTACGACCATGGTAAGAATCGAGGTTGAACATTTTCCTTTACTGTATGCGGATATCAGGCTTGAACTGGTAAATTGCCAGTGCTTCTGCTGTGTACAGCTGTAGAAAGCGTACTTCTTTCGAACTATCCCCTTCATCTTTGTAGATGACATTGAAGGAAGACTTTAGTGGAGCTGTATGTACAGAGTTGAAATGTCATTTGATTTACATTCTCCTCTCAACGACCATGCAGGATAGTACTCAGAGATATGTTTCGAAAGTGTTTTCTTTGTGCGGCTTTTATGATAACCCTATAGCACTTGCTAGATGATGCGACTTTACCCTGATATTCATTAGTAGTTTTACGCGTTGTGAAAAATATACATACGATATGAGCCAGATGCAGGGTAATCGGTTGGCATAATCAATAAAGTAAATGATGTAAATCTTCTTGACTTTGTTACAATTATTGCAATCCACAAGCAATCTATTGTTCGTTTCCAACTTCTTTGGCAACCTAATTTACGGACTGTTTTCCCTATGTGGTTCCATTTTCAGTTGATTTTCAGTTTGTTCCAAACTTCATATTTAACTTCTTGAGTCCCACTCCTTATAGTTTATCATATTCGGTTTTTATATTGTAACCAAGTTTTTTACTCATCAACCTGCTCGAATATTTTTTAGTAAATTTCAGAATATTCACTTTTCCACTCTAATCTTAGCCGAATCACTACATGACATACCAAACTGTATCCAACCCTCACACTTGCCTCAATTAGCTATCCCGTTATTCAGTATCAAAATGCTCATTGACTGATTTTTTGTCTGTCAACTAAAATACGCCAGTATTCCACTGCACTTTGATGTTTCGAATATTACTGGTTGTAGCCAAATTAAGATAACCGACGAAAAAATAAAACGGTTACGTGTTATTCTTATGGAATATATTTGTTCCTGCTGTTTGAAACTCACAAATGAAAATATGTGCATGAAAATTGATTTTTATGGTTTCTCCATGAAAGCTTTTAGTACACACAGATGCAGAATATGTTTCTGAAAGGATCCAGTTTATCTACTTTCTTATATTGACCTTCTAAAAAGTCGACTACAGAAATCATGGCTAGAAACGAAGAGTGTTAGACTACGAGCAGTATTATAACTGTGATAGCTTACTGGATGCATGGTAGCTTACTCGATATGATCTTTAGAAACTGACGTTCGCCCCTAGTTTTCTTATCAGAAGTATGCTGTATAGCTTGGCACAATAAGCTTCTCTGTAGGATGAAGTATATTAGCAAAAGCTACGAGTTTATTTTAATTGTCTAGCCTACTTTACATTAAAGACATTTTTCAACACTTTAAAATGAAATACATATGTTAGGTAATCCAAACTAATGCGTAATTGTTGACTAGTAGTTTCACTGTTATTCATTTATAATCCTAGCACACTAATTCCTTATTGCTCTAACCGATTATTGAGTAGTTGGTACTGGGTGGTGACTGAAGATGAAGTGAAAATCTAGGCCGCAACATGTTTTGAACCATCGGTCCACACGTGACCGGCCAGGTGCTTTACCAAATGAGTGCGACACCTAGGTGCTGGCCGGGTCTTAGCTTCACCTCAAACAACAACGGTTTCGCCTAACTATCATGCAAGTTCTTGATGCGCCACTATCCGTTTATTGTATTTGCACTTCTTGCCCAGTCAGAATATCGCATCCTAATTCATATGAAGCTGAATTAAACAGGTGCCACATCTTATTGACTATTAGTTTTACTATCTGACGTTGTCATGATCTGACAAACTTTTACTATTGATACTGCGTGATGATTGAAGGTGAGATGGAAATCTGGAACGCAGCAGGATACTAGCTGCATTTTCATTTTTTGCATTTACTCATCTTCCAATATCTTTCAAATTCTTCTAAATCACCACTATCTTAGTCGGAATCGTACTAATTACTAATTGTATTTAACATTTATATCTTTTATAATGTTGGTTAACAAAATTGTGGCGTATTAATTAAAACGAAAATTCTTGTTATTTCTATCACACATTGTTTAGATTTCCTTATGGAGTACAGCCTTGAAATGTCATATTACACGGATGTACGACTTAAGAATAAATTCGTTGAAAAAAGTTCTCTTCACTAAATTAAATGTTTCAAAAATTCACACATCAATGGGAAGCATGTCGTTGGAATAATTTAGAGATATGATTTTCTTTGAAAATTCATTTGCTGTTTATATATCTGAATGAATCATTTTAGAGTAAGCTTTTACGTATATCCTGAGTATTTGTAAAGGTAATATCAACCAGTTAGTAGTTAGATAGCACGTAGTTTTTTCTAAGTAAGTCTCTGAGTTAGCAGGTGGTCTGTTCTAACAATGGGAAGCAAAAGAGGCAGGGAAGAATAAAAAATTATTCTTTTGGGTATGAATATTTTAGAAACAACAATGAAAAATATTGAAGAGTTTGATACCACATGATTTGTAGACAACTTGACTTTGAACCGTCTGCAGTTCAACTCAGACAGTTCTTCGAAAGGGTTTGGTAAAAAATTAAGCTTTTCCGCCAATAAGTAAGAAACGTGTAGACTGAACTAACTAATTCGTTTGGTTAGGATGCACACAGCCAGCGAGAAACCTTGAAATATAAAGAATTTCACACATTGTTTAAATGATCTCATTTTTTCAGCCTGGTGTTGTAAAGGATTATGATATTTAAAAGGAAGTATGCATATTCATTTAGGTATTGAGTATTGTAATAAGTCGTTCTCCTGCATGATGAGTTCAGTTTTCGCAAAGTTGTAAAACTTAAGATAATTTAGATTAAAACATAGTGAAAAAGAAAACTGACAGACAAATTTATTCTTAAAAACCAAAGAGTATTTGCCTGATATCCAGCTTGCAAATCTTTGAAGGAAATTGACTATGAATACTGAAATAAAAAAGTTTACATGTGACTAACAGCAAATAATAGTGGGGAAAAAGGCACAATATCATACGTGTGTATAATATTCAGGCTGCGTGAGAATCATCTATTCTGATTGGAGATAAGTCTTTACAAGTTTAATCGAAATAAGAGTAGTCTTGAGTCTGCGGATGCTGCGACGTTCCTTCAAATAATGAGGAAAAGATAAGAGTGGAAAGGTTTTTCTCATAGCCCTAGGTCATGCTGTAACCCTTCATATTCGGAACAGAATACGAAATAAGGGAACGCATCGTAATTTTTTTTTAATATTTGAGACAACAAAGCTTTTCAGTGGTATAAGTGTGAGCCTAAGTGACAGTATGAAAAGATTGTTCATACAGTACTCAGCACGTTCGTATGCCAAACTACTGTTCATCAACAATATTTAAAGAAATTAATACTTTCTTGTTGTTTAACTGTGTGAGAATCAAAGTATGATGACTAGCAGTTAACGCAAAATGGAATTTTAGAAACAACCACAAGCTACATCACTTTTTTTACAGAATGGAAATGTGTTGCCGAGGTTCAGAGTGTCGCTCATGTGTAAGCTTTCATAAATACTGTGCTCAATAAGCATGTTTTTGCAATGATATGATGTTTTCATTTTGGTAAGTCATGATGAGCTCAAGCTACCTTCACATGAACTTCTTAATTAACCGCCTAATCCTTTACGAAGGAAGTACGTTACACCACTTCTTATTCAAACTTTTGCAATTTGTTGCATTCTGAAAACAAACAACATCCATGATTAAGAAGCATACAAAGCTTCAAAGAATAATAAGGGTTAGTTGTTAACACAATATGAGTAAAACAGCCCATTTCATAAGTCTTTTTGATGTCGAACCCCTGGCAGTTTAAGCAAACATCAAAATGAAAACTTAATAGTCGTGTTTATCAACGAGGTGACTGATGTATTATGGGATGAATGGCTAGTTCACACAGTGAAAGTTGTAATCAATGAGGTTTCCTAAAATAAATTAAAAATCTCCACTTCCCTCTCTATTCAGTCATGTGTCTGATTTGTTTATGCCTCTCGATAGCTAAGTACATCCTACCTGTTATCATTTCACTCACGAGACATGTTTTTTGGATGATAAAATATTTCAAAAGTGGCAACTATATCAGTGGACGGAGTGAAAACTGTATTAATAACGGAAGGA